TGTTCTTTGCCGTTTGGGTGTCAATCTCTTATTGATCATTTACCAGTTATTTGTCTGTTAATAAAGGTTTTGTCGGACACTGATTTTCACTGGGTTTTCAGCCTAACGTATCTTTGTATCACTACAGCGGTACCAGATCTTGTTGTTGACGTGCAGGCACTACAGGAGAGCGTGAACATCGATGTGGCSTGGCTTAGGCATTTGCGTTGTGCTTACGAAGAGAAATGCTTGGCTGAAAGTGCAGCTTCAGCTTGGTCATCCGGAGCAGACCATCAYGCACGGAGGTTGCTTCGTTTCACTACTCGGATTGAAAACAGAGGTTTAGCTCCATTTAGATCGAATGTTCCCCAGTCGGCTTGGGAGTGGCATAGTTGCCATAATCATTACCACTCCATGGAGACCTTCAGCACGTACAAATTGTTAAGTAAGTTTTGTATGATCTTTAGTTTTAGTATTACGGGGTCTTCACCAATTGACTCTGGTCTATTAGTTTCTTTGATGCTTTTCTGGCTTTCCCTATAATGCTTCTATCTCTAAGAATATAAAAATGGCACTATTTTAGCTGACTCTGTCCTTTTTTGTAATGGCTATTTTTTCGATTCTGACATCTCGCTAGACAACGTCGGTTGTACGCATAAAGCTATTTATGGCTTGATAGGGATATATCTGGATTTATTATCCGRTGGATTCACACTACGTGCTACAAGCCCCAGTTGGTACCTAGTACTCAAAACGTACTTAATATACATTTTTCAAAGCGCCTAATTATWATCATTCAATACTTGATTGTAATCTTTATCCACGTGTATTAATCTCAGATGGCTCAATTTTGTCTGTAATGTCACCTCAGGCCGTGGAGTACCAAGGATTTAGTATGCACCCGCGATACTAGATATAGAAAAATTATTGATTTATTCTGATATTCAACTGTTCTTTCACAGGTCGAACCAGCCGTGAACAAGCGGCAGGTCACAAAGCAAGTTTTTGTTTGGAAGACACTGTCTGTGACAAAGGTTTACACAAGAGCTTCAATTGCACCAACCGTGGCCCTCAGGGGATATCGCCAAACTGCTACGACATTTATAAATGGAATATAGATTGCCAATGGATTGACGTCACGGATGTTCCGCATGGGAACTTTATTTTACGTGTGACAGTCAATCCAGAAAGAAAGGTGCCCGAGTCTGATTATACAAATAATATTGCCAAATGCTGGGTATATGATTACGGCAATGTAGCATACACTACAGATTGTCATTTAGGTAAGTTCTCAGTCTTAATTATACACTTATCTGTCGGTGGCTGGGAAAACCAAAACCTGCGCGTAAACAACACTGAAATGATTAYGCTTCGTGTACAGTCAGTAATCATGGCCAGATAGTTTTATTGTGCAGAGCTTGAAAATGTTGTTTTTGTTTATAGACGAAGTGTAGTATAAGTTTAAATGTGAAAATTTCAGTGATCTTGGTAACAGTGGTAATTGGTGCGCGCAGGGGTTGATCGTATTTTCGGGTTAAAAGTA